AGCTCTTCTGTCCAGTTTCGGGCATCCCGGGTCTGTGTATAAACCCATGGTACTCAAAACGGGGTTCCCCGGCAGCAAGTGGTTCAAGTCCACCAAACAGCGAGTCCCAGAACCAGGTCGTACATCCTCTCAGCAGGAATCTGTTTCGACTTCAACCGCAGTGAATGTTTCCAACTAGTCAATTTGCCCACAAGTGTTCCGTGTGCATGTCCCCTGGCTCCTTAGCCAATACATGTAATTGCCATGGTAGCTCCTTGCGCAATGGCAGTGCTCAAGGGGCAGCCAATGCATCAACTGCCAACCCCAGTAAAAATATCACGCATGCTCCCCTTTCTCAACAAATACCCAGCAAGGCGAGACGCACGAATCCTGATTGCCAGTTTCACTTTTGGCTTTCATTTGGGCTATTCTGGTCCACAAGATGCACAAATCGTGATTGACGTTTCACTTTCGGCTTTCGTTTGGGATATTCTGGTCCGCGAGTGCACTCTTCAGCTCGCAATTTCAAGTCCGTCAGTGTACACGGCTTTAGTACACAATAAAAGTGCAAGGGAGATTCAGTTGGGCCACATTGCTGGTCCCTTTTCTACTTCCCCTTTGCCTGACTTGCACTGTTTTCCAGTTGGTCTAGTCCCTAAGCAAACGTCAGATGAATTTCATCTGATACACAATCTTTCCTCCCCATTGGGCGATTCCGTTAATGATCACATTGACCCCTCTCTTGCCATTGTTAATTACTCAAGTTTTGATGACGTAGTAGGGTTGGTCTTAAGTTTAGGCATTGGTGCCCTTATGGCTAAATCTGACATTAAGTCAGCTTTTCGCTTGCTGCCAGTTCACCCAGATGATTTTAACCTGTTAGGCTCATGGGTCATACAACTGACAAATGTATGACCATGGGTTGTTCCATATCGTGTGTGACATTCAAACAGTTTAGCACATTCCTTGAGTAAGTGGCCGGGTCCTTGCTAAGTGGCAATGACTGATAATGTCATTCACTACCTCGACAATTTAATTTTTGTGGGAAGTGGAAATTCCAGTGACTGCACTCGCGCTCTCTGTTATTTTACGGTTGTCTGTAAGGAGTTAAGCATTCCTTAGCGTCAGACAAAACCATAGGACCGACGTCTAACATCCCTTTCCTAGGGTTGGCAATCGACACTATTGCCCAGACAATTCAAGTTCCACCAGCAAAAATCATATCCATGCTAAAAAAGTTGGATAATACGTTATCTAAACCAAAAATTACTCTCAGGGACCTTCAGTCTTTGCTAAGAAGTTTGAATTTCATCTGTAAAGCTGTTCACCCAGGCCGTGCATGTTTTGCATTGTTTGTTTGATTTAACCATCGGCGTTCAGATGCCATATCATCATATCCACATTTCTTTCGGAGCGCGCATCGACCTGTTGGCATAGTGACAGTTTCATCTATTTCAATGGCTCGGTCATGTTCCCTACCCATATGTGGCAGTCCAGTCACACCTTACAATTGTACACCGATGCTTCAGCCAATATAGATTTGGGTGCAATTTTCATGGTAATTGGACACACGGCAGATGGCACTTGTCAATCCGTTCCCTGCAGTCTTCTGTTGCTTTCCTTGAACTTTTGTCCATTGAGCTGGCACTGCAATTGTTGGGACCAGATTTGAGAATAGATGCGTCGTTTTCTGGACAGATAATGAAGCAGTATTGGCCATAATCTATCCTCAAACTTCTCACTGCCCTAGGATTAAAAAATTGGTCTGTTCACTTGTTACTTACTGTTTGGAACTTAATATTTATTTTAAGGTATGTCATGTTCCTCGTATAGATAACTGCATTACCAATGCTCTCTTTCACTTTCAGATGTACAGATTCCGGCAGCTAGCACTAGGAGCAGACCACATTACACCCTTGCCTGCAGACTTTTGGAACAACTTCAGCTAGAAATTTGCGTTTTTTAGTTGATTCTGTTGCGCCCTGTACTCATTCACTTTATCAGCATGCTTAGCAGTTTTTCCAATGGTTCATTTTGCGCCATGGCCTTAATCGTATTGATTCTGACCCTTCACTTCAACAGCTCGTACAGTTTATTGCATTTTTGTCCGTCAATAATTATTCTCCGGCCACCATAGCTTCATATGTATCTGGTATTGCTTCCACATTACGCCTGTATAATCTTCCGGCTATAATTCAAAACTTTGTTGTCAAAATGCTTATTGGATGGATGTCGGTGGCGTAACAGCCGTCGGGATGCATGCTGTCCTATTAAATTGGATATTCTCTGCCGTATTATCTCAACCTTGCAATCAGTCTGTTTCAGTCGGTATGAAGCCTTACTTTGGTGTTCTACTTTCCTTTTTAATTTGGCAGTTTTGGTTTCCTGCCCATTGGTGATCATTACCAGCTCCCCTTTGTGTCGTTCAGATGTCAACCTTTGACATTTGCTTTTCTAAAATGGGGACTGGGACATGACTGTATAATTTACATTCCCTTGGTTCTTGGAAGTGATATTTCATTATGCCCTGTTGTGCTGTTGTGCAATATTTGTGCCAGAGCCCCTAGCATCATGCCCATTTCCTGCCCGACTTGATGGTGCCCCCTTGAATCGATCTCAATTCACAGCGATATTGAGACGGTCCCTTCAATTTATTGGTGTACACGATGCCCAATATACTTCCCGTTCCTTTCGTATTGGTGCAGCTACACCAGCGGCTTTGGCTGCCATCCCCAAGCAGGAAAAACAAAGGATAGGGAGATGGCAATCAAGTACATATCACTGTTATATTTGCATTTTCCCATACATTGCTAATTAACTGTCACCTTTCAATTCAGCCCATTGTTCTTATTTCTGAATGGTCCGTTTCTTCTTGTACTTGTGCACTGTCTTTTTTTACTTTATTTTCCCTATCATAAGCTTTGAGCCATCTGGCTGCGAAGCCTCTGGTGTGGGTAGTTGGCAAATCCTTCATGAATTGGATATCCCAGTTGCAGGAATGTCTGAAGATGGGGCAGCGCTGACCAAATTAGAGACTGTTCGCAGGCTCAGGCTGAGGGCCTTACACCCGACCGATTTCAACAATTTCCTTATCGTTGCTGGGAATCCGAACAAATGAACCCTGATTTAATCATTTTGTATGTCAGTTCAAATGATCTGGGAAGCCTCCTGAAAAGGCCATTTTGGAGGCCATTAAATCTATCCCGTCAGTCACTAGATCAATACTTATATTTCTGGTCATCCATATTGCCAAGGGTCAGTTACCCGGGCACATTCCAGCAGAACAAAGTCGAGCGGGCCCAGCGGGCCATTAATTGTTCGGTATTACAAACCTTATGCTGTTTGCGTCAGGTTGGATGATCCCACATCCCCAGATAGGATGGGATAAGGACCATTTTATATATGATGGTGTCCACCTCAAAGATGACAGCACTGAATTTATTAGCCAGAATTTTTATCCCGCCTTGCGGGATGAGATTAATATATATTACTAAATATTCCTAGTCCCTATGCCTAGGCTTTTTGGTCGCGGTCATAGACGACTGTCAGGCAGAATTTCATTCTGTACGCTGTAATATGCCTGGGCTTTATTTGGATCCAACGGTAAGAGCCCCTAAATTTAATTAATTCAACAAAAATTTCTGGAGATTGTAAGCACTTGCTGGGGAAACAGTGTTTACACATGAGCATCATGCAGTCACAAGATCCAGCTTCACCAGAAGACATAGCTACTATTGACCTGGTTTGTAAATGTGGTTTGGAGACTCGCCACCCATGATAATCATGATAGCAGGTGATTGAATAATTTTTGCTAGATATGTATCTGCAGTTCGAGCTGTTATTATTAACAATCGTGCAGTACAAGTGATGCTGAAAAGCAGGTAATGACAGAGGTGTTACTTGTGTTTCGCGAGTTACAAGGACCAGAGACTGAACAATGGTGCACACACGACATGGAACAGTTCATGAAATAAAGCCTTCATGATTCGCAGCGACAGGAAGGGTTGAATAATAACAGTGCTCTGTATGTTTCATGGATCACAACGACCGGAAACAAGCCCACTTTGTTGAGCTCGGGCTGTTGAGGCAATGCTGGAAGGTTTTGCAGATCACAGCGACCAGAAACCATTTGCCTTTCGCAGATTGCAGTGACCAGAAAGGCAGTGTTTTGTGAATCACTATAGTCGAAAACTCATTTTGGCTGTTGGAAATAAATGGCAGTAAAGTGTGTTTTTGCCAATCACAACAGCCAAGTGTTGAAATGTTAACTCGTCAAACAATAAACTACTCGAACAAAGTTACTTATGTTGTCCATGCCTGAATTCTTTGCTGTCTTTTCAAAAAGGGAAATAAATATGATAGAGTAACAAAGACGTGGGTGACTGCAGCCTTCACAAAATAAAACAGTGGAAAATATTAAAGTGTTATTACATACCATGACATGATTTGTTCTTAACCCCTTCACGACGGATGACGGTAAGAGCCGCCGTAAAAATTGAGATCCCGCAGCCCGCTTTTCAGCTATTATTCTCGACCCATGCTCGAGTGAACACTGTGAAAGAAGGCATACCTGGCTCTTGTGTATATGGTGATTGGCCTTTGTGTGTTGCCAAGAAATGAAAAGGCCGAATTTGCATTGTAATCACCAGCTTCACAATAGTCCCCACTTTGAAAAGAGGCAACGGGAATGTGAAAGCGTGAGTAGAGCCGCATACCACCGAAAAATGAGCCTTTTCACTGTGTAATTCAAAGCGTACATAGCACGCAGGGCCACAAACCAAGAATTTGCAGTTTGGCAGGTGGCCTTCGTGGCCAAGTGAGGCTGGAATTCTCGGAGTCGGCTTTCAGAAAAAAGTTCCCATCGTCAAGGGGTTAATTCGGAGCTGTGATGAGATTTATTTGGTAATAACCTGTTCTTTTTCATTGCTTTCAATTTTATTGACGGGTTAAAAAATATTAAAAAGTTAACCCTGCGTTCAATTCATTATGGCTCACTTTTGAACAAAGTCAAATGTTCTTACCTTTCTGTTTACAATTAGCTGAAGCACCTCTACTGCAGCAAGTTTCAACTCTTGTATTGTGAGTAAGGAATAGAGCATTGATGGCAATGCGTTGTTGTCAGCAAAAATGTGTTGAGGTGCAATCCAGTCAACATATCCAGTCAGTGTCAATAATACTGCCTGAGAAACTCGGATGGAGCTTGCAAGCTGTTAAAAAATGCAAGACAGTAACTTTGTGAAATCCTTCATTAAAAACTCCCAAGATACAATGTAACATATTCCATGAAACAATAACAACCCAAGTGCATGTTAACGCTTGATGACCAAAATGTCTTGAAAGGATCTCCATTTGTATTAATACAATTTCAAAGACCTTAAAGGTTTCCTGATTTTAAAATATATTACTTAACCACAATTCCATGAAGCAGAGTACATAATTTTTAGTACAGTATTTACATTCTCAGGCAAATTACTGTGATCATTCCTATTAAAGCATTTGATTACATGTATTTCCTGTTTCCACACAGCAGTTTAAACCAACCTTGTGAACGAGTCAGTGACAAACTCCAGGAAATCCACATGTGAACATTAAGGCCATTAAAGTTCTAGACCAAGAGCTATGATTGTATTTTCTCTTTACATTATCCCTACTTTCCATTTATTTTCTGATTTTTCTCGGTAAGCATTCTGGACCATGCCCAACTTTTCACTCTACTATCTCAATAATTAGGTCATTGCACTTAATAGCTGAAATCACTCCTTAGATTTTGTTAATGTATGTGCAGGAGCTCTTTTTCCAAAGTATTGTTGTTTGTCTTGTTTTGCCCAATAAATCTGCAGCTTATCTTCAAAGCATTACAATATTTCAACTTGAATTTTGGCATGAGTATGAATCATGGCATGATTTCTTACAGAATTTTTCTCTTTCGTTAATTATCCCCATTCTCATTGGTGGTAAGTAAATGTATCTGTTTTAGAGAAAATTCTGAGAAATCAAGTTGAAAAATTCCATTTTCAAAAACTGTACCTGACAACACAGTCATTGAAAAGTCAGAAATCAGAACAACTATGTAACAAGCCCACAGCAAAACGAGCAGCCACGTGAGAGAAGCTGTTTACATGTACACAATATGACATTTATGTATACGTAATACCTGCAATTTAGAGAAAGTAAATAGTGGCATATCGTACCTCTTTTGCCAAGACTTTTTTAATTTCCTTTTTCCAAAAATAGGAATGTTTCAATTAAATCAGAACAGTTGGGAGGTATGTGCTTTTGGATTCACAATTTTTCAAAACTGCTGGGTTAAAAAATAGTTTTGAATATTTAGTATTTTTTTATGACACTGTATTGCTGCAACTTCCACAGTAGTGTGGTATGAGTCTACTAGAGAATACTTTCCTAATAATCATAAAGATGAACAAAGAAATTGACTGGAGCGGGATTTGAACCTGCAGCCTCTGGAATACTGTAACAGTGCTCTTACAACTGAGCTACCCAGCCCTATATATTGGTGGCCCTTCCTAACTGGCAATACCTCTGTTTGGGGGGCGCTTGCCAGAAGCCATTAAACCTGAAACACCATGTGGCCACGGATCACACCCCAATTACACACGATACAACCTGGGAAGTGGTGAACAGGGATCACTCAAAGAGGATACGGCTTTTCCACATAGGGAGACTATACAGTGATCCCTGGTCACATGGTGTTTCAGGTTTAATGGCCTCTGGCAAGTGCCCCCCGAAAAGAGGTATTGACAATTGGGAAGAACCACCAACATAGGGCTGGGTAGCTCAGTTGGTAAAGCACTCGTACGGTATTCCAGAGGCCGCAGGTTCAAATCCCGCTCCAGCCAATTTCTTTGTTCATCTTTATAATCATTCATGAGCACCTAGTCAGTTTCCCTATACAATTTCTTTCATGATACCTGATACGCACCTACTTGTGAATTATTTCCCTAACGTTAGTTAGCCATTTCCTAAAACTTGATCAACTGCATTGTGCTCTCATCTGCCCCAATGCAACATATCATTGCCGCTATGATCATCCTTTTTTAGAAAGCATTCGGGTGCTGTAACCAGAGTGGGGAGGATGGGGGGTGTCTGTGATTCAAGTAAGTATTCTCCAGTAGACTCGTACTACACAACTGTAGGAGGGAGAGTCTACTGCATTCAACTGACCTGAATCACCTACTTATGCAGAGTGGCACCCTTTACCAGAGGAGGGTCAGCAAGGACACACAAATCCAAGGATCATAATGATAAATCCTCATGTGACAGCAGGTCCAGATCCTGAATTTTACTATAAATTACACCCTGACAAGAGGGTACATGTACATGGAATACATACAATAAACTCTTGATAACTCCCAAAATTTGCATTGTCTGGATTTCGAGCTATTGACAAAAGTTCCAGAGTCTTGCCCAAACATATGCACACAGTGCACAAGTAACCCAACTTGCCCCCATGGTGGTTATTGGAGATGTGATAAGTGGTTAATTATTTCCTTTTTTCCCAAGAATAAGTTTCTTCTAAAATCATTAGTTTGCAGAGATTTCATGTTTTTTAGCCGAGACCGGCCAGGCCTGCATCCCACAGTTTTCCTGTTTGGCCACACAATCACTCATTTGTAATTGCTTGAGGGCACACCATTTTGCATTTCAAATGTTTGCGTGTAACAATTTTAAAAAAATATTTGTGTGGTTTTGTTTGTCTTTTCATTCATTTGATTACCTTTCCTCTTTCAAAAAACTAAACAGAATTTGGCACTGCAATACAGCATTTATAGCACCTCACTGGAAACGTGTCAGTGCGGCACACAAGTGCTAAAGCTGGGCAGGCGGCAGCCAGGCTTTAGCTTGCTTCAGTGTGGTCACATGGCCACCGCAAAAAATCAATGATTGGATTGCACAGGCTACGTTTGGGCCGTGATACCGGCTTGCTTGAAAGCCGGTATTGTTGAGGTCCAAACAACTCTATTACAATGGCACTGGCAGCAAGCACGCTCGTGTCCTCAAGCAAAAAGACTAAGTGCAATTTGCATAAATGACTCATGAATGAAATCTCTGCAAGTCTTTTCCACTTGTCAATAATTTAGAGGTGGTCTTTTTGGATCAGCCCTTAAAAACTGTAATGGTTGATTCTCTGTTTGCTTGTTTGTCCTGGCCACTTGTCATTTTACCTATGAGAAAGATTCTGCTAGGATCGAAACATAAGGTCCTCCATATTTTGAGATTTGTATTTTAGGTAAATGTACTCAGCAAGCAGTTTGCAGCAGTTTTGTATTACATATCTTTGTAATTCGCATCCGTCTGTTGCTGTATCCTTTCGTGGTGATCCTCCTTGCTGTCCTGTAAGTTTGTCCTTTTTGTTTATGATTTTCAGGCTGTTTCCTGGTTTTAGCA